TGCCGGGCGGCCATAAAGAGCTAATTGAGGATCGCAAATCAATTAGCGGGGGTCACGTCAAACCAATCAATCAATTTCACATACCCCACACGGACCAAGTGACTTGACTTCCCGCCGTTCTTGTTACGCTACTTTATTTTTCCAACTAGCTTAAACACATTTCATTATTTCTTTAATCTCTTCTTCTATCTTAACTTTACTCTCCTTTCACTCTAATCATTTTCTGGATTCACTTGATATCTGCAGCAGCCTTTTTGGAGGCCTCATCTGTGGCCCCTGTCACTCCTGCCACGCGAGGCGACAACCTCACCCTGTCTCATGGGCGGGCTGGCCCAGCTGTAGATGAGGCTGAAGATTGCAAAGCGAGAGGAGGCAGACACCCCATTTCCTTTTTTCTGGTCGCTGCTGTTTGGATAGAATAACTGAATAGGCAGTGACAGCAAGGTAGGAGGAGCAGCAGCAGAGAGACCCCTGCAGGACTATGGACCTCAGGAAATGCCCAGCGATGCCAACCCGTGATGCTGCCCCTGGTTCATCTATCTGTCTGTCTATCTATCTATCTATCTATCTATCTATCTATCTATCTATCATCTATCTATCATCTATCTATCATCTATCTATCTATCATCTATCTATCTATCTATCTATCTATCTATCTATCTATCTATCTATCTATCTATCATCTATCTATCTATCTATCTATCTATCTCTATCATCTATCTATCTATCTATCTATCTATCTATCTATCTATCTATCTATATCTATCTATCTATCTATCATCTATCTATCTATCTATCTATCTATCTATCATCATCTATCATCTATCTATCATCTATCTATCTATCTATCATCTATCTATCTATCTATCTATCTATCTATATCTATCATCTATCTATCTATATCTATCTAGCTATCTATCTATCATCTATCTATCTATCTATCTATCTATCTATCTATCTATCTATCTATCATCTATCTATATCTATCTAATCTATCTATCATCTATATCATCTATCTATCTATCTATCTATCATCTATCTATCTATCTATCTCTATCATCTATCTAATATTAAACATTCAACACATATTTACACAGCAATTTACCATGTTACAATTTATGCACGTACACTACACGAAGAAAAAAAAACCCCCCAATAAAAATAGAGAAGTAAAAGAAAGAAAAAAGAAAAGAAAGAATAAAGATAAGGAAGATGAAATAAATTTCTGATTGTTCTCAAAAAACTGAATCTCGTTTGTTATTTTTTTACATAGTATCATGTTATTGTACTTTGTTTCCTTAATTTCCTTCAGAGAAAAATTGTTTAGTTTATTATCTATACATTACAAGAATCATTCAAGGTCTGCCAGGAGATTTTTGCTATCATAGTAGTTTTTCAAATATTCTTTAAATACTGTCCATTCTTTATTCACCCTCTGCATTGAGTACCCTTTAACTCTCCTCATCATTATTGCCAGTTGGATGTATTCTGTCGTTTTTACCTGCCATTCTGACTTTGTAGGTGTACTTTTACTCTTCCAATTCATTGAGACCAGAATCCTGGCTGCAGATGTTGTGTACATAAAGAGTAGTCTTACTTCTTTCTTGATTTCAGTTGACATTATCTCTAATAAGAAGGCCTCTGGTTCATATTTTTGTTCAGTACATTCCAACAAAGAAGATTTGCTTCTTTCCCCCACTGCATCTGAGATTGATCTCTGTTCCATGGAGAACTTAGTCCAGCAACATGATATTTTATTTATATATATATATATATATATATTTGCTTTCGTAGATTTTCACGGGTACAGGAATGCAGGTTTGGTGTCCTCGGGTGTCTTCCCGTGTAAAAGTTGGGGTGTCTAGGCGACGTTTCGACGAGGTCTCACTCGTCATCTTCAGGCTGGTGCTTTCGGCTTCTTGTTACTGGAACAGAGCAGGATCTCAGTGTTTGAGTTCCTATAAATACTGTTGAGGGGGTGTGGTGTATAGCCTCCAATGTTCTGGGCAGAGAGGAAGTTCCCAGGCTAGTGTGCCTTTTCTTCTTTTGTTCCTTAATTACTTGAGGGATATCTTGAGTGATTTCTTGAGTGATATTCTGAGTACCACTTAGGTGGGTCATTAGGTGTGGATTAGTTGCTAAAGCCTTCGTGTCTTGACCTCTTGAACTTTGTGAAGAGTTTTTCTGAGAAGATGGCTGTACTGCACTTAGTTGTGCTCTGGCTTGGCTTCGTGTATAGGGGCGAGCTGTGGTTTTGTGCCCTGTGCCAGCCAGATCTGTGTAGGGATTGCAGGGGGGTGCAGCATCCGGAGGTGCCACCCCCTGCAATCCCTACACAGATCTGGCTGGCACAGGGCACAAAACCACAGCTCGCCCCTATCCACCTCCGGATGCTGCACCCCCCTGCAATCCCTACACAGATCTGGCTGGCACAGGGCACAAAACCACAGCTCGCCCCTATACACGAAGCCAAGCCAGAGCACAACTAAGTGCAGTACAGCCATCTTCTCAGAAAAACTCTTCACAAAGTTCAAGAGGTCAAGACACGAAGGCTTTAGCAACTAATCCACACCTAATGACCCACCTAAGTGGTACTCAGAATATCACTCAAGAAATCACTCAAGATATCCCTCAAGTAATTAAGGAACAAAAGAAGAAAAGGCACACTAGCCTGGGAACTTCCTCTCTGCCCAGAACATTGGAGGCTATACACCACACCCCCTCAACAGTATTTATAGGAACTCAAACACTGAGATCCTGCTCTGTTCCAGTAACAAGAAGCCGAAAGCACCAGCCTGAAGATGACGAGTGAGACCTCGTCGAAACGTCGCCTAGACACCCCAACTTTTACACGGGAAGACACCCGAGGACACCAAAACCTGCATATATATATATATATATATATATATATATATATATATATATATATGATATTATATATGCTTTCGTAGATTTTCACGGGTATATATATGGGGAATAAAATAGTTGGAGGCAAAGTTTTCAGTTTATAACTCCCAGCCCAAGTAAGTCTGTTGCTAGAGTGCTTTCCCTTCCATCAGAATTTGACTTTCACCCCGCAAGTCTCAAAATGAACAAGACGAAAAACTAATGGGATTTTGATGCAGCTGTTATCAAGCATGTTTAGCCTGAATGGGAAGGAAAGCAATTTTTGCTCAGTATATGGGTGAAACGTGTCTGATGTGTGTTTTGTTTTGTTTTCCTTAAAAGCTTTCCCACTTACTGCTTGCTGGTTGTCAGGAATGTTTCACTGCGGTGAGCTGCAATTTAACAGGCTGAAATCCACGGTGAAAGGTTCTTCTCGTTGTGCCGGCATGGGCTCAGACTAAATTCCACCACTGCTCCTCAGAACGTTTTGGAGGGTCTTTCTGTGGTGTGGCATGTAATGGATAATTTTTAGGGGGAAAGCCATGGTAGCTAAACAGGGCCTCCATACCCTGTGGTGGGTCCCAGGGTTAGCCAACTTAACCTGCATGCGCTACTTGTGAGTACCTGGAGACATTTGGCTGGTCACTCTTGGAAACTGATTGCTAGGCTGGGTAGACCATCATCCTTGACCATTAAGGCTCTATTCAGTTGCAGTCTTGCAGCATCGTAAAGCAGTCTTGTTGTATACACAGCATACAGGTAGAATTACATTCAGGGGAGAAGCCATCACCTCTTCATACCCCTACCAACTGAAGTCAACCATGCCTCTTTATACTAGCTGGCAACGGATCCATTAGGCAATGCCCCATGTCTTATGATGCTTAATCATCACATGCTGCTGAGTCAGCATTCCCAATTAGCACAGAGTGTTTAACTCCTTGATACTCACAACACTCCAACAGGCCACGTTGACTGGGCCTGATGGGAGCTGGAGAGCCCCCCCCACAAACCACATGTTCTCCATCTTCCTTCTTGGCAAGCAAGGAGAGGAGCAATTTTACCTCTGTACAGTCATACCTCATGTTACGTTATTTCAGGATACGTCCCACAGCGACCTGGAAGTACCAGAAAGGGTTACTTCTGGGTTTCGCCGCTCGCACATGCGCAGACGCGCAAAATGATGCCACGTGCATGCGCAAAAGTGGCAAATCGCAAAATGCGCGTGCGCAGATTTGTCGTTGCGGGTTGCACTCTTTTCATGTTGTGAATGGGCCTCCGGAATGGACCCCGTTCGCAACCAGAGGTACCACTGTATAGTAAAATAGTTTCTGCACACACCCTTCTCTGTCTTCCGTCCAGGCAGGCAAGAATTTAATGGCACATTTCAGCCAGGCCCAAAACACTCAAGGGGGAGTGGCTTGTGGGGACGGGGTGTGGCTTGGGAAGAGTCTCAAGGGCCATATAGAGAGTCTCAGAGGGCCACATATAGCTCTTGAGACTGAGTTCCCAACCCTCTTGTACAGTTGGGTTGTGAAGAGCTCCCACAGTAAAGATTAAGAGCTTCCACAGGATCAGAATGACAAGAATGGGGAAAGTTTTGGGCATTGGGGGCTGGGACAGAGGGAAAAGGTTGTGATGAGGGAAGATCAGGGAGAAAGTTGCAGCAGCAAAATGACCCATGAAAACATATTTCCATCATTTTTGTGTGTGTTTAACTCGGAAGCTTCCTTGAGAGCCCATTCAGAGGCCAAAAAGTGAAATGGAAAGTTTCTGAAATAAAACAAAATACCATATTTTTCTGTCTATAAGACGCCCCCTATTTTTTGTGAATCAGATTTAAGAAAATGGGGGGAGATGGCCTAGACTATAAGATGCCCCCTAATTTTTGACATTATTTTTTAGGGAAAAAACCTAGTCTTATACATGGAAAAATACAGTATTCTCTAAATTTATCTCTCTAAGATTCTGATGTTAGAGTAGACACCACTTCCAACCATTCTGGGTTGTAGCATTCAGAAGGTCTTATGTTGAACAAAAGCAACCATTCATTTCAGTGACCTAGGGAGATGAGGAGCAGAAAGTTCTAATATATGCTTTTTGTGTCACCATTTTAGCTTTCCAGAAATGCATACCAGCCCATAATAATCAACCTTACAGAGGAGAGAGGAAACTTTCACCGGCCATATACCATGTTGGACTATTTAGGAAACATTTCCCGTGCCTTACCCGATGAGTCACTCACGGCAAATACGGCCTTCAACCTTACTGAGGTAAACTTTCTTCACTTCTTCAACTTAATGAGGTACTTTACCAATTGACTGAGGTGAATCTCCTTCACCTGTTAGTGAATTTATTGAAGTAAATTTCTTTCAAATCTCCATCTCTTTATTAAACGAATAAGGCCGTTTGTAGAGTTGGCCATAGGGACTGAGGCAGTGCCTGTACACTGAAAACAATGTTGTGGGGATAAAATGACAAGGTGGCAGTACCTCAAACTTGTTTGACCAATGTACCCTTTATTTGCAAGAATTTCCCTCTAATATAATTAGTTTGTGCTTCAGTTTTACTGATACATGCATTTTTGTGCACTTGGTTTGGGTGGAGAACAAACTTTGGAGAAGGGTACATAAAGAGAGCTAAATTTCGTTTAGAAGTACACCTAAAGATAGCCATGTTCCGTATTGGTTTGAGAAGTGCGAACCAGGTAGTATCTTGCTAAAAGGCAAACAAAATTGAGTTTCTCTCCCTTGCCCATCTTTACTCACAGGCCATTTAGCACTTCCTACGGCTCAGAGAGAATTTGTGCTGACTTCCCTGGATTTTTCTGCACCAGACCCATTATGTAGCTGAGCTAAAGGGCTTCTGCGCTCCCTCTTTGCTTTGTGCACCATGGGCAGCAATGCCTGGAGGATTTTGAGCTTGACAGAGTCGAGAAGTTGCTCTCTGCTAACAAAACTCTGGCACTGATTTCAGCAGCGGGCGGATTATTCCCCTTTTAGCACTGCTGGCTGGAGCTCTGGCTGTGACGGTAATCAGCTGTGATTTTGACAGCAATTGTCCTGCTAAACCCATGCGTAGCAGAGAGACAGATTGTTTGCTCAGACAAAAGGAAAATAAAATGACTATTAGTCCCCCAATTTCCATTTTTTGGGTCTACATATTGAATTGTATTCTCATATAGCCAGAGTGGATGCAATATTATTCATGTGATTGAGCTTTGAATCCTGAATTGCAGAGGGTTGAACTAGATGACCCTTGGGGTCTTTCTAACCCTACACTTCTGTGTTCTGTGTCTTTAGCCACTGTGTGGGATGGGAAGGAAAAGCCAGATTGTGACATAGGAGGAGGGGTGCTTTTATGCAGTCATACCTCAAGTTGAATACGCTTCAGGTTGAGCGCTTTCGAGTTGCGCTCCATGGTGACCCAGAAGTAATGGAATGCATTACTTCCGGGTTTCGCCGCTCGCGCATGTGCTCAAAATGATGTCACGTGCATGTGCGAAAGCAGCAAATCGTGACCCGCGTACGCGCAGACACGCAGACGCAGGTTGCGTTCGCTTCAGGATGAGAACGGGGCTCCGGAACGGATCCCGTTCGCATCCTGAGGTACCACTGTACTTTTATTTATTACTTGCTCATTTCACAACATCAATATGCCATTTGATTGTAAAAAAATAAACTCTAAAAACCAAAGAAGATTGAAACATTCATGTTATCAAGACAAAACAGAAACATGTATTAAAAAGCATTCAAAACTAATTAAAATCAACAGCCAGCTCAAAACACATGTCAATTTCTAGATGCCAGGAATGCCAGGATATTTTTAACAAAAATTATATGTTGTTTTGCAGTAAAAATCTCAAAGTGGTTTACAAGAAAATGAAAGAGAACATTAAAATTATCGATAAAAGACAGGTTTGCCTAAATACAAATACTTTAAGCAGTGAAAAAGTACAGCTACAGGTGTCTGCCTGACATCAATAGGCAGGGAATTCCAAAGTGTAGAGTGCTGCTGCACTAAAATATTGATTTCCTAACAGTGCCGGTTCTGCAGGTCCACCTCACCGGAGTCCCATAGGAACTGGGGTAGGGTGCCTGAAATTCTCAGTGGGAAGGATAATCCACTACCGAGGTGGGGAATCTGTTTGTGCCTTTGGCTACATTCCCTCCTGGGTGGGCAGGGCCAAAGGAAAAAGTAGGTAGAGCAATGAATGTAATTTTTACCTCTGTACCATAGGTGGTTTCTGAACAGATAGAGAAGCCTGGTGGGCTACATTTGACACCCAGGCCTGAAGTTCCTCACCCCAATCTGGTTTATCTGTATTCCTGCTTGGGAGCATGTTCCACTGAAGTGAATGGGACTTAACGCGCAGTCTTTTGCATGTCTGCTTGGAAGCAAGTCCTACTGTGTCCCGTGGGGTTTACTCTGAAGTATGTGCGCATGTGAATGTAGTTCCACTGTATTTACTGGGCCTTGCTCCCAGGTAAATTTACAAAGGATTGCAGGTTATATCCTTTAATCACAGTGATATGATGTACACTTTTGCATAAATGGTATCTTACACCATTAAAACCCTAAAAGGAATTAAAAATTACAGTATTTTTCCATGTATGAGATGGCCCCTATTTTTTGGACTACAACAAAAATTTTTTTTCGGGGGGGGGGATTCCTCAGAGTTGTTGAGCTTTTCTTGGGGGTGGGGGTGGGTCACCGCCGCCAATTGCTCTACAGCCTGCCTGCCACTGCAAATCACATGCATCGCTGCAGCCACCAATCGTCTGCATGCTCACTGCCTAAAGTCCACCTGTACACTCAATGCAACCACAGCCGATGGCATGCATGCCTTGATGCTACCTTAAATAGCCTGCCCAATTGCCGCAGCCACGGCCAATCGGCAGCAGGCCTTGCCGCAGCAACCAATCACACACCCAATCGCTGCTGACAATCTCCTGCTGGCTGCTGCCACCAATCGCCCGCCCCCCCGCTGCTATCTGTGTATAAGACGACCCACATTTTTTGCCTATTATTTCTAAGGAAAAATATTGTCTTATACACGGAAAAATACGGTAATCACATAAAGTGTTTACATGCATATGTGGTGGGACTGTCCTTTGGTTACTGCTTTTTTTGGTGAGGTGGATCATTAAATACTTTTGCAGGAAACAAAATCTGTATTTGCTATCTCCTTGTAATACTGCTTAAAAAACAACAGCAGCTCTGGTACAAGAACACATAAAATCTTTATTGAAAACTTGATTAAGACCCTCTCTTAATCCTACACATATGTGCTGAGAAGTAATACCTATTGGGTTCTATGGAGCACACTCCCAGAAATTGCGCATACATTTGCAGCCCTTAGGGTAGGTTAGGGACAGAGGATTGAGACAGATCAATTGGTCCATCTCTCTCAGTACTGCCTACACTGACTGACAGCGGCTCTCCAGGATTTGAGACAGGGAACAGCCCTAACTGGAGATGATAGGGACCTTTGGCGTGCAAAGCATTTGTAACAAAAATGGGAATTCCAAAAAGGAATTGGAAGTGGGAAAAGAAGAGGCAGTGCCTCCCTTACCTTTCCCGCCCCGACCTGGCCACAGTGATCCATGCAACGGTCACCTCCAGGCTTGACTACTGTAATTCGCTCTACACGGGACTGCCCTTGAAGCTGTCCCAGAAACTCCAGCGGGTGCAGAATGCTGCAGCGAGGCTCCTCACGGGGTACCTGCCATGGGAACATATTCACCCAGTGCTTTACCAGTTGCACTGGCTCCCGGTGGAGTATCGCATCAGGTTTAAGGTGCTGGTTTTGACCTTTAAAGCCCTTTGTGGCTTAGGGCCCTTGTACTTACGGGACCGCCTCTCCTGGTCTGCCCTGCAGAGGACCTTAAGGTTCATGAATAATCATAGTTTAGAGGTCCCGGGCCCTAAGGAAGTCAGACTATCCTCCACCAGGGCCAGGGCCTTCTCAGTGATGGCTCCGGCCTGGTGGAATGCTCTGTCCCATGAGACCAGGGCCCTGCAAGATTTACCTTCCTTCCGCAGGGCGTGTAAGACAGAACTATTCTGCCTGGCTTTCAATTTGAACCTGGCCTGATCTTTTGTTCCCCTTCCTTCCCTCCCCCTCTCCTTTTTGTGAAGATTACCCACTCTGGGATCCCACAGCTGGTTCCCCCCTGGTCTGCTCGCTGGCCCAAGTGGGACTAATTTAGCCAGCTAGCCCTAGTGATCATCTAATGTTTATTGGATGGATTTCCCCCCTAAATTGATTTTTGATTCTTGATTTTATTGTTATTTACACTTTATACCGTATTTTATGCTGGTTTTTTTGTAGCATCAACTAAATGTTTTAAGTTTGTTGTTAGCCACCCTGAGCCCTGTTTCCTGAACCGGGAAGGGCAGGGTATAAATAAAAAATTATTAAATGTTGAATCCCTGAATTTCCTTGGAGAGATACCAGTGGTGTCCAAAACATGTTGAACCATCACTTTTGTCTGCCACTCCGCTTTCCTCCCTCCAACTTCTAGTCCAAGACACCTGCTCTACCGCTGAGCTACAGCTAATGAAAACGTGTTCTGCAGTGGAAATGTATAAACCAACTGAATTAATGCAGCGCTGAAATGGGAGAAGGAAACTGTGATAAACTGTTGCAGAGATGGGTCCCTTTCGTTTTCTATTGAAACAATTTCTGTAGATACCCCCTGTTCTAAAGATTCCGCCTGGCAACTGATGTTCACTCTCACACACGAGAAAATATATATATATTCTACAAGCATTTTCCCTCTCCTGCCTTAACCCCCTCCAAGGTTTAGTCAGTTTCAAACATTTTGCTTTTGTACATTGGTTTTAATATCTTGAGCAGGGGGATAAATGGATGCTAATGTAATTGGAGTTTTATTGTCCTGTTAGTGTCCATAAATACTATTCTGCTCTAAAATATTATTGTACAATATTTAATGAGCACAAGTGGTTCTCTGTGACGTGCATGGATTTGTGTCTATTATTTTAGAGTGAATATGCACCTGGGGTGCCCTGACTCAAATGCTATTTCCTGGGGGATGGAGGAGATGGAGGCAGAGGGTTTTGATATTGTAACGAAATGACCTGGGGTTTATTTGTTTGCAGGTCTTCTTTAAAACTGTGGAAGGTGTGCTTGCGTTTCACGGCTGGAATGAAATGTCACAGGTAATGCCTTGCTACACATGAACTGCAAACCTGCAACCAACTTGCCACTTTTCTTCCCCTAATATATATATATTTAATTGTGATGAGGTAAAAGGGAAGGGATGCTTCATTTGCTCCCCTGTCCACACATTTCTTCTCCAAACTGCCTCTCCCATTCTGCTTTTTCCTTTGTCCATGGGATTTGGACTATGTGCTTAGTGTTGCAGGTGATATGGAACTCTGCTTGCTAGTGTTTGATCTGTGATGGCCCATACACACTAGGGGCAGATGGACTAGTCTATTTCTGATCCAAGGGTGCCAACTTGAATAAAATATTGGGGGGCGGCTCATGTAAGCCCTGTTGGCATGCAGAGGGTCGCAGCCGTCCCGCTGCGAAGACCCACCAAAGACCCATCGGCCTCTGCTCCGATGTAAATCAGTGACCCAGGCTTCAAAGCCATGGCACACTATATCAGCCGAGCGAACTGCGCGCACAGAATAGGCATGAGGCTTGTGGAAGCATACTATAACTATGGATTTATTAATCATAAATCAGGACAAAGAAACATGTCGTCTCTCTCTTTGTCTTCTCAGAGAGAGACAGAGAGAAGCAAAAGCTATACACACAACGGGAGCTCTCAGCAAGCTGAGCTGGTATGTAAACAGACATGTGACATGTAACAATCCCATGTCTGCTCCTTAAGGTGGAATGGAAATTCTCAACAAGCCCCACCCCACATAACCGATCACATGATGTGACACACACACACACACACACACACACACAATTTGAATGGCAATTCCCATCATTGGGGGCTCAAATATTTGGGGTGGGGCGGTGAAGGGTGTCAGTTCAGAAAGTATTGATCTAATGTGTGGAGATCTTTCCTATTCTGATTAATACAAGAGGATTCTAGATGCTACTAGAAGCTTCTCTGTATGAGACAAGCAGGCAGAAGCTTCATGATTGTTTGGGTTATACCTTCTGGGAAGCTGGTATGAACTAGTTCTCTTATCTCTTTCAATTAAGGTCATGCTGGCTATAAGTATAGGTCAGTAGGAGCCTAGGTTTTACTTTCTTTCTCTTTCAATCTCTCTTCCTTATGGTGTGCTGTTCTGTACATAGTATGCTTAGTGTTTAGTCTTGTTATACATTTGTAAGTTTTGCAAGTGCTGCAACTGGATTTTTATGGACTGTGCAAACCTGAATGTATTGGATTTGTCACCATTAAGCTACATTTGCCTTCAGCACAAGTAAAGCTCTGCTGGATGAAATATGGCCTCTGGACTATTTTCGGAAACCCTGCTACATGTCTAAGTTTTTCCTCCACACGTATCACCTCGACCCCTAGGAGCTGATTCCTATGTTCTGATCCGTATTGTTTTTTAATTAGTTAATTCACAAATTAGGCTTAAATCATCATCATTAAACATTATTCCAAACCCTGAATTGAATTGGGGGGGGGAATCCAGGGTGGGTGGTCCCTAGGTGGTCCTGGGTCAGATTGGCCCAATCAGGCGCCAGGGTCCTAGCGTGGGAGTGCCACAGGGGTTGTGACCCCAGTCACAGATTTTTGAGGGGGCACGAAGCATGCGCCCCCATGCAGCTGCCCCTAGCCCGGCCTGGCCCAGGACTCCTCCCTTGACACCAGAGGAACCAACACTTGGAGGAGCACCTGGATGGGCCATGCTGGTTTGCCCCTGCCAAGTGCCGCATCAATTGGCCCGGCTGCCACCTGTGTAGGTGGGCAGGTGGCATAGCACAGCCCTGTTTGGCTCTGATGCAGTGCGGGGTCACTCTGGCAGTGTTGGCGGTGAGCACTGGGCTCCCACTGTGGGCTCCTTCACCCTCTGTGCCCTCATTCTCCAGTACACGCACCCCTCCATTGCGTGCATGCCAGCACTGGGCACTGTGAGCTCATGCAACGCTGCTGCCAGGGGCACCAGATCAGCACCTCAGATTATGGTAGGCTATGTGCAGCCCTATCTTCAACAAGGAGTTCTTGCTCTCTCAGTCCCACATTCAACATAAGGTTCCTTTTGCTCCTCCACAGAATCATAATCGTGGCTCTTTTTTGGTTTGCTTCTCAGACTGTACCCATTGCTCAAGACTTAGTTGAAACAATTGACAGTGTGATGCTTCATGTGGGCCGCAATCTTGGAGGAAGCCCATCAGCCATAACAGTTGAAGGCACATCATCCGTGGCAGGTGAGGCTTATCTGGCACACGCACAGACACCTGTTCTGAAACCAGAATCTGGATAATTGCAATATGACATGTCTGTGTCTGCAGCTTCTCACTTGGTGACAAGGAACAGGAAAACTTCCTCCCCTCTTTTAATCAGGGCTGGGGGGGGGGGGAGACTGCATCCATCACAAAAGAGTTTATACAGTGGATTGGAGGGAAGGAAGAATATTAACCAATGCCCTTTGGTTCAGTTGCAGGTCTCCAAAAGTGGTTTTCTAATGATTCTATGTTTCACATGGGTTATTGCAGTGATTAGTGGTGGCCTACATACATTGGTCCACACTATTTTAGACCCATGCTTAAAAACATCCTAGGCTAAGGCAGCTCCAATTCTGCCACCATGGAAAAACTAGTTTCTAGCACACACATCTTTCTTGGATGGGGTAGCTGTGTGGGAACTGATGTTATATTATTGCCTCCGGGAAGGGCTGGTGCACAGACCTCTAGTATTACATGAGACAATACTAGAACTCAGGGGATATGTAATGAAATTATGTGCTGGAGGATTCAGGAAGGACAAAAGAAGCTACAGTGGTACCTCGGGTTAAGAACTTAATTCATTCTGGAGATCCGTTCTTAACCTGAAACTGTTCTTAACCTGAGGTACTACTTTAGCTAATGAGGCCTCCTGCCACCACTGCATGATTTCTGTTGTGTGTCAAGACCCCGAAGCCACCCCCTCGTTGAGAAATAACACACACAAGGACACAGATATTAGGTTAATGTTATTGGGCAAATTTTGGCCACAACTTTATTGATTACAGAATGCGAGCACTATTGGCTTAGGCATTGAAGGACCAACTATATCTGACTCCTGCCTGATGTGCAGGAAGTCTGGTAAGGGTAAACCACCGGAAGGGGGAGCCCTGTCGATGCGAACCAACTCAAGCTCCCCCAGGTGTTCCTGTCGGGGTCGTGTCATGGCCCTAGCCCCCGACCTGGGCTTTGGACAAGATCAACACCCCCGGATTCCTTTAACGGAATACCCTTAAGCTTGGAGGGGCAGGTGATGGCCACACCTCCCCTCCCCCAAACAATGCCTAACTGCAGCCCTAGCAAAGTTGTGATGATTGCTATGAGGTAGGCGAAAACCACATGGCCAGTGCCAATTTGCCAAGTGGAAAAATTCCTGCCCAGCCCCTCAACGGCGACCAACCGAGGTCCATAGCAAGGCCAGTGCCTAAAACCTGCAAAATAGGGCGGGAGGGTGGGTGAATGAGGAAGCGAGCCAAAGAGGAAGCCCTCCGGCTCGCGCCTCTGCTTAAATGGTCCCGGCCATGCCTCCCTGGCCAGTGGATTGGCTGGCTGGGCTCTGACGTGGCCGGAACCCCCCAGGCAATGGGGGAATAAGTCCCCTACCCCCGGAAGGGGGTGGGTGGCCACGCGGTCCACCGCAACTCCTCCCCACGGGGAAGTGGAGTGGATTTTTCATCCTGAAGCAAAGTTCTTAACCTGAGGTACTATTTGTGTCGCCCCCTCCCCCTTATCATTGTTTTTGAATGTGCTTGCATCATTACACAGATTACTCTTTGGTCAAGATGCCTCCCCTACACCTGAGCGTGCCCCACTACCGTTTCCCATTGGAAGGGCAGAGTTATATTTCTATCCCTGGAGAAGCGTTTCAGAACAAAGGTAACATCTACTGCTTTATGAAGGATTTATGACGGGGAAGGGTTATCATTCTCCGTTAATTGAATGTGCAAACTGCCTACTGCAGTGATGGGCCCTGCAATCTTCTAACCCAGAGAAACCGATGTTTCCCTCCAGGTGCTGTTGGAACACAGCTGTCATTGCCCCTGACATGCTAGCTGGGGGAGACGGGAGGTGCAATAGACAACTGCACAGTTTCTATCTGTAGAAATGGGAAAAAGAAGAAAATGGTTAAGAGAGAATGCTGTGCTTTGTCAGGGAGATGCAGAATTTTAAGCTTACTCTGGTTTTACATGCTATTATTGAGGTCCAGCTGGCACCAGAATCAACGGGAGACCCATCAATTACCCATTCCTCTCCTAGTAAGCGTGTTTGTGATTGTAGGCTTACTGTGCAACCCTGTTGTTGTTTAGTCGTTTAGTCGTGTCCGACTCTTCATGACTCCATGGACCAGAGCACGCCAGGCACTTCTGTCTTCCACTGCCTCCCGCAATTTAGTCAAACTCATGCTGGTAGCTTCGAGAACACTGTCCAACCATCTCGTCCTCTGTTGTCCCCTTCTCTTTGTGCCCTCCATCTTTCCCAACATCAGGGTCTTTTCCAGGGAGTCTTCCCTTCTCATGAGGTGGCCAAAGTATTGGAGCCTCAGCTTCAGGATCTGTCCTTCCAGTGAGCACTCAGGGCTGATTTCCTTCAGAATGGATAGGTTTGATCTTCTTGCAGTCCTTGGGCCCCTCAAGAGTTTCCTCCAGCACCATAATTCAAAAGCATCAATTCTTCGGCGATCAGCCTTCTTTATGGTCCAGTTCTCACTTCCGTACATCACTACTGGGAAAACCATAGCTTTTACTATACGGACCTTTGTTGGCAAGGTGATGTCTCTGCTTTTTAAGATGCTGTCTAGGTTTGTCATTGCTTTTCTCCCAAGAAGCAGGCGTCTTTTAATTTCGTGGCTGCTGTCACCAACTGCAGAGATCATGGAGCCCAAGAAAGTAAAATCTCTCACTGCCTCCATTTCTTCCCCTTCTATTTGCCAGGAGGTGATGGGACCAGTGGCCATGATCTTCATTTTTTTTATGCTGAGCTTCAGACCATATTTTGTGTTCTCCTTTTTCACCCTCATTAAAAGGTTCTTTAATTCCTCCTCACTTTCTGCCATCAATGTAGTGTCATCTGCATATTTGAGGTTGTTGATATTTCTTCCGGCAATCTTACTTCCGGCTAGGGATTCATCCAGCCCAGCCTTTTGCATGATGAATTCTGCATATAAGTTAAATAAGCAGGGAGACAATGTACAGCCTTGTCGTACTCCTTTCCCAATTTTGAACCAATCAGTTGTTCCATATGCATTTTTACTTGGAATAAAAGCCCACTGTGTTCTCTTGGGCTGACTCCTAGGCAGGTGTGTGTCAGGGATCCCTGCTCCCTCAGCCTCACTTGTCTGCACTGCAAGTGCCCATGCCGACATTTCTTTAAACTTTTTGTTGCCATCCATTCCCTAGGAATGCTTCAAAACTTTGTAGTAATTTTATTTATCTGTTTATTGGAGTATTTGTGCCCCACTCTTCAACCCCAAAGGCTCTCTGAGCAGCTTACATACAGAGACAGTCCCTGCCTACAGGTGTACAATCTTAGAAGAACACGATACAAAAGGGTAAAAGCACAGGAAGGGAAGAGGAAATAAAAATGAAGAGATTGTGTGAAGGAACTTAGTGCTCTACAATTCTATGATTCTATTCTCACTGACAAATGATCCCCAGCTGGCCATTCACTATCCAACTGGCTGGAACCTCTAACCAATCAGACTGAAATTTACTTGACCCATGCCTCACCTGCTAAACTTTAAAGTAGGTTCTTTGCTCTGCTGGAACTGTCACCTAGCAACCACAGCCCAAAAGGTTTGTAATGCTATAACCATGCAGGGCATTGTGGCAGTCACAGAGGTCATGAACACCAACCACACACACACACACACACAGCGCATGCAATAAAACTGCAGCCTTAATCAGGCTTCTCTGCACTTGCTAAGTTGGAGGTGAGAGATGCAGGCAAGAATACTGAGATGCAGATAGGTATTTAGGAGGGAGGCAAGAACATCAAGCCAAACTTTGGTTAGTCCTTGAGCCAAAAACAATAAAGGCATCTTGACTCTCCTCTCTAGTTCCTGCCGGATTCAAAGGGCTTCCACATGTTGGTCGTAAAGGGGAAAGTACTCCGAAGAGAGTAATTCAAAGAACACAGAATAGTGTTCATTTCTTTTTTGTAAAAAAAAAGCTTTTAGAGGCCAGAAATTTGCACACAATTTCCATAAATACCAGATGCAAAACCCAGAAAGGAAGCAAAAGTACCAAACACGACCCAAACACCCATTTATGAATCTGGAGATCAAATGCCATAAGGATCAGGCAGAGACAAAAACCAAAACCCAGAACCAGAATGTTACCCACTGCTATAAATTACATTAAGTTCAAGGCTTCTCGTCTTACATTTACAAGTGCCGTGAGTTTAAGGACCCCAAGCAACATGTCGCTGAAGCACCCAGTTGTATTCTATGATTTCTGTCCCAATACTCTATAAAGGAGCACCAACACCCCATAACCCTACTCAAGTCAATCGGCAACACATTCTATCAACGTGTGACTGGGCCCTTAACGTTGCACATTCCAAGTGGCTTCACCTGCTGACATCCAACTATTTATTTAAAGATCTATAAACCACACTTTCATATAAAAATATTGCAAGGCATTATGTGTAATATTAAAAAGTACAGTGCTGCGGTGAAAACAATAAAGGCATCAAACACATCTGCAAAAGCTGTTGGGCGGAGAATCCCAGGTTCAAAAGGAGTGCGTCCTGAATAATGCAGTTTTCTGAAGAAATCTGAAAGCGATCAAATATGACTCCTTCTAAGCAAAGCCAGGACTTGCCACACTTGGTAAACTCTGACTGAATGTCAGCTGCATGAGGAACTACAAACAGTGCCCCATCAGAAGACCTTGGCGATCAAGGTCCAAGTTGTTTAGGGCTTTGCGAATTTAACACAAAGACCTGAACCTGACCTGGTAGCAAACTGGTGATGGAAGCAGCTCTTTCAGCAGCAGAGTTGCATGAGGACAGCAATCCATTCCTTTGAGAAGAAGAAGAAGAAGAAGAAGAAGAAGAAGAAGAAGAGGAGGAGTTTGGATTTGATATCCTGCTTTATCACTAACCTAGGTAAAGGTAAAGAGACCCCTGACCATTAGGTCCAGTCGTGGCCGACTCTGGGGTTGCGCCGCTCATCTCGCTTTATTGGCCGAGGGAGCCGGCGTACAGCTTCTGGGTCATGTGGCCAGCATGATTAAGCCGCTTCTGGCGAAACCAGAGCAGTGCACAGAAACGCCATTTACCTTCCTGCCAGAGCGGTACCTATTTATTTACTTGCACTTTGACGTCCTTTGAACTGCTAGGTTGGCAGGAGCAGGGACCAAGCAACGGGAGCTCACCCCATCGTGGGGATTCGAACCACCGACCTTCTGATCGGCAAGCCCAAGAGGCTCAGTGGTTTAGACCACAGCACCACCCGCGTCCCTTATCACTGCCCGAGGGAGTCTCAAAGCGGCCAACAATCTCCTTTCCCTTCCTCCCCCCCAACAAACACTCTGTGAGGTGAGTGAGGCTGAGAGACTTCAGAGAAGTGGGACTAGCCCAAGGTCACCCAGCAGCTGCATGTGGAGGAGCGGGGAAGCGAACCTGGTTCACCAGATTATGAGTCCACTGCTCTTAACCACTACACCACACTGGAAGTGCTGCATTCTGCAGCTTCCAGACCAGATACAATGGCAGCCCCACCTAAAGCATGTTACAGCTATGCAATACAGAGTGAATGTGTGCAGGGAAAGGGGGAGCCTTTGTGTGTACAGCTGTATGCTCAAAAACTTCCATATGGTCTAGAATTCTGTGCAATCAGCTCCCTGCATGCATATGTTTTTGTTGCATGTGTGGACTCAGTTTGTGCCATATCAGAGGTAGGGCTAGTCATCACAGCCCAGCTTCTGGTTCATATGTTGATACAGGACATGAACAGCTCGCCCCTCACTCATGATCTTTTCTAGTAACCACCTTTACAACATCAAAATCCTCTGCTGCAAACTCTTTTGTCACTCATCTAATCTAGGCGTTGCCATCTAGTCTTTAGCTAGCAATGTCTGAGCATCAGCATATTTCCTACAACTTCACATTATTTCATCTGAATCACATGCAGCTAAGGCTGTTCATTGTTAGCAGTCATATCTGCACTGCACAGTCAAATCGTGTTGGTTCCTTGCCGCAGAAACAAAGCAGTAAAAAGAAGTTTGGGAGATAGATTTATTGAGCCACAATGTCTTAATAAGGAACCATGAGACTCTTGGTTGTTTAAACTAGTTCCGCAGCTGTTCTTTCTCTCCGTGGAATTCTAGGAACCACAGTTCTGTGGGATAGATTAGAGACTGTCACCTAATCATATTTCTGAGGATTTTTGGGAGGGGGTGGATCCGAAGTCGTGGCTTCTACAGTGGCTTGTATAAAACAGATGCAACTTTGCAGGGTAGATTGTGCATTTTAAAATCTATTTATGAAGGATTGTTTGAACTGCTCTTTGCATTGTGGTTCTCCAGATGACCTGTTTACGGAGAGTTTGTCTTGATTTGATTGCACAACACTTACATAGAGGTTAGACTCTATCCAGTCTCTATTGAGCATTCATTTTGATTCATTTGCAGGGAGGTTATATGACAATGATCATTCATTCTGATTTGCTTGCACACTGTTTATACACCTTCACCTTAATTATTTGTTCTTTGCATACACTTTGGTGCATTTCCCTGTTGCTTTCCTACCTGCAAAAAGTCTGTTTTTTGTTTTAAATAAAAATGCATTTGTTGCAGTAGGATGATAGGAGGTCCATATTAAGGGATGTAAACCCGGATCAAGGAATGTAATAGCATCACTCCATTCTGTCTTGGTCAGACCTCACCTGAAATACTGTGTCCAGTTCTGGGTACTACAGTTTAAGAAGGATCTGGATGGTCTGGAAGATATGCAGAGGAGAGTGACCAAGGTGATCAAGGGTCTGGAAACCAAGCCTTAAGAGGATAGATTGAGGAAGTTTAGCCTGGTAAAGAGGAAATGGAGAGAAGATCTGATAGCCATCTTCAAATACAGTGGTACCTTGGTTTAAGAAATGAACAACTTGGATTAAGAATGCTGTAAACCTGGAAATAGGTGTTTTGGTTTGTGAACTTTGCCTTGGAAGCGGAACATGTTCCGCTTCCTGTTGAGTGTGTTCCATTTGTAAATTGAGTCCCCTGCTGCTATGGGAAAGCACGCCTTGGTTTACAAATGCTTTGGTTTAAAAATGGACTTCAGGAATGGATTAAGTTCATGAACAGGGCCGTCTTACCCATAGGCGCTAGGGGTGGGGGCACCTGGGTGCTGGGCTCTCAGGGGCGCCAGGCCGAGAGTCTGGGGCCTGAGAGTTGAGTCTGGGGAAGAGCCCACCCATTGGTCGGAGCGCTGCAGCAGGCTCTTCTGCTGCAGGCGGCTCTGCATGCGAGTTCGGGGGCGACCGAGCCAGCAAGATGCTGAGGTGGCTGGCTGGCTCTGCCCTCCTGCGCGCCTGGGACTGGGCAACCGGGGGAGGAACTGTGCAGATCTTTGCACCCCAGCACTGCATATGCTTAAGACAGCCCTGTTCGTAAAACAAGGTATCACTGTATGTAAAAGGCTGTCACACGGAAGATGGAGCATGCTTGTTTCTGCTGCTCCACAGGGCAGGGCCCGAACCAATGGCTTCAAATTACATTAAAGGAGATTCCAACTAAATATTAAGAAGAATGGTACAAGCTGTTTGACAGTGGAACAGACTTCATTCGGAAGCTGGTGGATTCTCCTTCCTTTTAAAGCAGAAGTTGGATGGCCATCTGTCATGTATGATCTAATTGAGATTCTTGCATTGCAGGGGGTTGGACTTGATAACCCTTGAGGTCCCTTCCAACTCTACAATTCTGTGATCCTGAAGTTGCTTCCAATCCCAAAGTTAATCATTCTCAGAGTAGTTCCTGTGAAATTAATGGAACTGATCAACTTAAGTCCATCAATCTGAATGGGTCTACTATAAGTAGAGCTTGGTTGGGCACACATCCCAGAGCACTTCAATCAGGCAAACCTGAATTTCTGGTATTCACGCGAATCCTTCCCACAAAATACTTAGCCACTCATTTTGCCTTTGAGTTCGAAGCCATCTGAAGGAGGTTTTACTAGAGACAATATTTATTTAATTTAGCTGTTCAGTTTCATGACATTATGAAGGTGGTGAGAAGTCTACACTGTCCTGCGTTGATGTTCCTTTTCTAAAACTCTGTGTGTCGGGAGGTGGGAAGGAGTGTTCCTTCTTTCTTTAAGTGAACGGTTGTAATCCCATGAGAGTTGAAGTGCGGAATGATGGGGAATGATGGAAGAGGTGAGGTTGCCAATTGACAACCTCAATTGCTTTAAATTGGCTTTCCCACCCTCCACTTTTTGCTCAAGCTGCAACACTGGCATGCAATAAACATCCTGTCCCTTTTCCTCTCCCTACAGCTTGGATAACCATTGTGGGACTTCTCTACCATACCATGCACCAGTTCTTCGGAAGTATCAGACCAATCGAAACAAAGTAAGTTCCTTTAAAAAAAAAAGGCAAGCTGATTGTGCATAACAAATAGTACTAATATTACAAGTGGGACCCTGGTAGGGATGGGCGAGTCTGTCAATCTTAGTTTTCATTTATCCCGGCATATTTCCATATTAGTTTGAGATTATTATTTTTTGGGGAAAAGTCCTCATGCATTTTAGTGCAAATTTCTCTTGAAATACAAATTTGTGCAAAGCAGTTTCCCCTAATATAATGTATGATTTGTAAGTTGTTTTCACTAAAATGTGAGCCTACCATATGCATGTTTTTGTGCACATTGCTTGTTTTTGTAGGCCTTGCTTGGCTAAATTGTGAAATTTGTGTGGATTTCGAAAGATGGCTGGTTTTGGTTCTCATCTGGCTTCGTAGAGGGTGAATCATCTTCTGCTGGATCTAGACACATTAAAAGAAACGTTACAGGAAAACGTGTTATAAAGCTCATAATGGAAAATCACACTGGCGAAGGAACAAACAACAGCGCCATGTGGTGTCGCATGTTTATAACACAGTTATAATGATATAATTGAGTGTAGCTGAGTCCTGGGTTTCATGCTACGTTGGATTGTAGCATGACTGGAAATTTCAGTGCCTTCATTTGCTGGTTGCTTTCAGCTCATGTGATCTGCAGTGCGTTTTCCTGTGCAACCTATTTGTCTCTGGGTCTTGCGCTGGGTTGGACTTTTAAGGCTGACTGTGGATCGCCTACAAGCAGAATTGTATTGTGATTCAAGTGGATATTGTGCAACGCCTAGATAATTTGTTTTCTGAAGTGTCTAACAAATGCAAACAAACTCAGATAATTCCCACTGGGTATGCCCAGTAGCTCTTTGGACCCTTGCCTAGATAAATCATATGTATTGCCATCACCTCCCTCTACCACAAGTTTAATGTTCACTTCTCCTTTTGTAAAGATCATACCTTGTTCGCACTTCAAACAGCATGACAGACTAATACTAGAATAGCCAGTGAAGTATAGCATTCTTCCACCTCCTCCACCTTTCCCATACGCACTTGGCTAATTTTTACACCACTAAAGCAGATAAAGCACTTGGATTCATTTACTTTCTGCATTGCGCCAGTGACATGTCCCGTAGATTAAAACAAAGGGAACTAAGAGCAATATACCATTCAAAAAGACAGCCCAGCTCTGACCTGAGAATTTCCCAAGCCAATTCAAGACAATTATATATATATAAGCATAGTCTAAATGCATTAACTCAGGTAATTACTGCTGAAAGAAATGGATGCCGGGAGTGGCAGCCCCAACCCGCTTTGTCAAAGTGCAAGTAGATAAATAGGTACCACTCTAGCTGGGAGGTAAACGGCGTTTCCGTGCACTGCTCTGGTTCGCCAGAAGCGGCTTAGTCATGCTGGCCACATGACCCGGAAGCTGTACGCCGGCTCCCTCAGCTAATAAAGCGAGATGAGTGGTGCAACCCCAGAGTCGGCCACGACTGGACCTAATGGTCAGGGGTCCCTTTACCTGTACCTGAGCCACAGGTGAGAGCTCAGTGCAGGGTGGGGACCAAAGGTGGACAAACTACCTGCCAGAGGTACTATCCCTATTTTGGGACTAAGTGGAAGCAAATGTTAGCAGCAAGACAATTAAGACATCAGCAGAGGCTCTGGTGGACGGAGGCAGAGGATGGGGCACTTATAGCTCAGCACAGCAAGAATGCTGACCAGGAGCCTGTAGAGAAGTTACCATACTCTTCACTTGGGTGGCTAACTGGCTTGTGTGAAGCAGTCATCCTCAGGGAAGTGCAATATTTCATACTGTGATACCAAATCCCAAGAGGCCATAATTTATGGGCCATTAGCTGTATAAAATGTATTATCTTGATAATTTGTTCTGGCAAATGGGGCTGGAATGTTTTACTTCCCACAGACAGAGAAAAGGCGTGGGAGGCTAGAGGCTCCACACACACAATTATTTCTTGTTAGGGATATAAGAAGGCGCTGATCTCCATTTTGCCCTGTATTCACCACACGCAGCACCGTTTCCATTCAGCCAATATTTGGCTTCCGAGAAAAAACAACAGCCTTCGTCTTGCTGTCCACTATGGTGAAACGTTATGCGATTGGTAATGCAATTAACTACATTATCATCACATTCTTTCACACCAGTCACTTCATTGCGAAGGAAATGTCTTGCAAATCTGAAAACAGAATATCATCAATTGCGTGTTGTTGTGTATTGTTTGCAGACTGAAAACACCATCAGCGGCAAATCCAGATTTATTTTATGGGTTGATCTCTGTTCCGGACATGGGATGAATGCGCAAAAATCGGCAATTTCTGCTCCCATTTCTGTTTCCTTTGGAATTCTCTGACTTCCTTACTGGTTGTATACTTAAGCAAATCCCATCTCTTAAAATCTGGATGGCACCTCAGTTCTTTGGAGAAAATAGTAATTCCAGGAATGCTAGCTTGGCCTTACTTCCCCCATTGCTTGGTGAATCAAAGTCCAGCTAGCTGAGGAATGCTTGCAACTCATCAGTCTTCTTTCTCCTTGCTTGCACTGATGCACAATTTTGTGGGTTTATACTGCTTATTTATACCCCTAATGAGGATTTTTACAATCTCATTTTCTTTTCAAGGTCCTTCCTTTCCGCTCAGGGTTAGCCAAGGCAGTCCCTCCATATTCTGTGGACCACAACCATCAGCCCCCTCTGGCATAAGCCAGTAGTCAGGGATTATGGGAGTTGTAGTCCATCAACAGCTGGAAGGCACCAAGCCGGCTACCCCTGATTTAAGTCTTTAGGGCTTCAATCCTATGCACCCTTAACTGGCTGTGAATCCCAATGAACACAAAGTAAATACATGTTAACTTTGCATGTGCAGTGTTTCTCAGAATTGTGCTCCCTCACTAGTAGCTGATATCTCCTGTGCATAGATAATGCATTACTAGTAATGAAATGTAAAAAAAAAATAAAAAATGCTTGTACATGCTAACACCCCTAGATGCTTTTCTCAGTTTCAGTGTGCTGCTTTTGTCCTCTCTTCGCAGAAGTACTTAAAAATATTGCATTTTAACAGTGAACCCAAACAGATGGAGAGAAAGTGACTGGTACAAACTTATAATAGGGTGGTATATAAATTCAATTTAAAATAAATAAATAATAATAAATGAAATAAAATGGCCAGGGCATAGGTTAGAGGCTTTTGACTACAGACTGGCTCACACATCCAGTGCTGTCTTGTATGTGTGAGGGGCTTCCATAGGTTCAGCACATAATATTTGTATATCTCTTCAAGCACAGCACCTTTCAGGGGAATCAGTAGGCAAATTCAACCCAGGAGAAGGGTACAGGCAGGAATCAAGGTCTGTATTCAGACATGCATGGCTCCTCACTTTGGCTTGCATCCAGCTAAATTCTGCTCAGAGTAAGCATACTGAAATCATGTCCATTAGTTAACCATGTTCGTTAGTTTCAGTGAGTCTATAGACCCACTCCTCCATTGTCTCATGAGACGGTTGGATGCCAACGAATAGTGGATCCATATTTGCAACCAGTATCAAAAAAGAGAGTTTCATGTTAAAATGAGCCATCACAAATTTAAAAACCACTTCCAACGCAAACATTTTTCTGTGTTTCAGACATTCAGCAGGAAATGTAGAGAAATCAAATTATGATAGGGAAAATTCACCTGCAACTGCAAAATTTAGCCCCCTTAAAAGAAAAGAAAGAGAGAAAGTGAAAACAACACAATTATTTAAACATCACTCGTCGAAATTCCCTCAAGCTAGGAAAATATCTTTTCTGGCAGGTTTTCTAATGAGAGGTTGAGCCAGTTTGGCTTCCCTCGGAACCCTGGTTTGAATTATGCTATCTTTGAGAAGCAAACACTTTCTGGACAAGATGGGCCTCTTTCATAACAGGGCTATAAATAACATGCCCAAATAATAATTTGCAAAATATCGGCCTCTGGACGGAGAGCCCAGGCTGTCGGTGTGGGAAGTTTTCCCTTTGTACCCTTCACTTCATAGAGATTTATCTTCAGTCATCTAAGGTGGGCCCATCAGGAAATATAATTGTCTGTGTTGACAGAAAGGCATTGTAGAAAGAAGCTTATGAAATGCAGTAAAGGAAATGAGGGGTGATTGTTTACCTTGGTTCTTCTTCTTCATCTTTTTAAAAAAATCCTAAACTATGCAAAGTGGTGTCAATGGCTCTGCTCTCTCTACAATTATCTCTTTTCAACAAACCTCCAGCTGATCTTGGACTACAACTCCTAGCATCTCATGAGGACTGTGGCTGAGGGGAGCTGTAGTCCAACAACATCCAGAGGCTGCCATGTTGGCTATCCTTGGGTTAGACTGAAAGTGAGATCCATGACTGAGTGGAGATTTCAACTCAGCTCTACATGGGCCTCATCCCTACTCTGTATACTGGATCATCACCACTTCCACCACCCCACACACATGAGTCAGATTTTCATTCGGAGATGGAGATCCCAACTCCGCTTTCTCCTCAGTTTTTAAGGCAAGTTACTATTCTATCCAGGCAGAGTGACCATAGCAGCCATTTTGTGGCTACCCTATGGAAACCATGTTGTTTTTGTGTCCACAACAGTCTTTTACAATTTCAAAAAAGTTTCCAAAAAGTTTCCAAAGCTTGGGGAACCCCCCACCTCGCTTTAACCTAGGCATAGGCAAACTTGGCCCTCCAGATGTTTTGGGACTACAACTCCCATCATCTGTGATCACTGGTCCTGTTAGCTGGGGATGATGGGAGTTGTAGTCCCAAAACATCTGGAGGACCAAGTTTGCCTATGCCTGCTCTAACCTCTACACCACACAGACTCTTCTGGAACTTGAACATGGGGAGCACCTGAAGGCAACAAGTTTGGATCATAAAATTGGCAAAGGGTCTGGCTAGCACAAAAGCCCAACTATTATGTCTTAAAAGTACCCCCCTCCCAATTTGCAACACCCTACCTCTCCGCTAAGGGGATAGTTCAGGCTGCCTTTCCTGAAATCTCCCTTCAGGTTGGCACTGAACACAGCCTGCAGGGGCTGTTCACACATTACACAGCCAATGAGAGGCACAGCCAACTAAGCCTAGTGTTGTCTTCCAAGCTCTTCTACAAGAATTCAAGGGCAACACCGAGATGGAGGAGGAGGAAGATGGCAGGCCGTGATTGTATGTAAGAAGACAGGCAGGTGGGGGCAAGCTGAGGGCAGGCTGAGGTTGGTGGAACAGTCTGCTTGGACTACTGCAATGCACTCTACGTGGGGCTACCATTGAAGGTGACCCAGAAACTACAACTAATCCCAGAATGCGGCAGCTAGACTAGTGACTGGGGGCGGCCCCCGAGACCACATAACACCAGTCTTGAAAGACCTACATTGGCTCCCAGTACGTTTCCGAGCACAATTCAAGGTGTTGGTGTTGACCCTTAAAGCCCTAAATGGCCTCGGTCCAGTATACCTGAAGGAGCATCTCCACCCCCATCGTTCTGCCCAGACACTGAGGTCCAGCGCCGAGGGCCTTCTGGCAGTTCCCTCACTGCGAGAAGCAAAGCTACAGGGAACCAGGCAGAGGGCCTTCTCGGTAGTGGCACCCATTCTGTGGAACGCTCTACATTAGATGTCAAAGAGATAAACAACTACCTGACATTCAGAAGACATCTGAAGGCAGCCCTGTTCAGGGAAGTTTTTAATGTGTTACATTTTAATGTATTTTTAATCTTTGTTGGAAGCCGCCCAGAGTGGCTGGGGAAACCCAGCCAGATGGGTGGGGTACAAATAAATTATTATTATTATTATTATTATTATTATTATTATTATTATTATTATTATTATTATACCACCTCCTCATCCTCACCACCATCCCTCACTTAGGTCCCGGGGAAGATTGCAAAATATTAATTGAGCAGAGGCTGCCATGCTCCGTAGCTCTGGAGACAACACTGGGCAATGCAACAAGTCACGTGACACAGATCTTTCACCAGCAAAGTTAGCCTTTGATCCTATTGGATTAGTGAGTCTGCTGGGTTTTAAATTTTAGACATAAATGTACAATTAGGCTGCATAAATCTCACTGAAGTCAGCAGGGTTTAAGGAGCCTATCCGTGTGCCATCAGTGTCCAAGTCTTAAATATGTTTCCAGAAGGGCTATGAATTATTGTTTTGTACGTTGTAGGGCAGAAGCATGCAAACTGTTTGTTTTTGCTGAGGGCTACACTCCTGGTAATTTGTTGGGGGGCTGCATGTCACCAGGGAGCAGAGCCAGAGGTGGGTGGGATGGAGGGATGGAGGAGAAATTTGATTCAGTTTGCATTTCAAGGCAAACCTTATTGATTTGTATTTTCTGAAATAAGATGTGAACCGAAACTCAGCCATCTTCTGAAATTCACACTTCTCTGAATTTTGCAATGCCGTCCTTCAGCCAAGAATTGTGTACAGAAATCCATATACTGGAGTAAAAGGTGCATAAAAGTGTACATGTTAGTGTGGGGGGGAATGCAAAAATATAAAGCTTTGCAAAATTGCACTGCAAAATATGCATTAAAAAATGTGTCTGTTGGGAGAAATTCACACCAAAATGCTGGTGATTTTTTCTGAGGACTTGTGATTTATGTTCTAACTATTTATTTGTGTTTTCATCTTGTGAACTGCCCTGAGATCTAATAAATAAATAAACTAAACTAACAAATAAAGTAAAGTGTTGTGGAAATGTGGAGAAATGAACTTAAGAAAGTGAGAGAAACTAAAAGACATCTGAAGGCAGCCCTGTTTAGGGAAGCTTTTAAAGTTTAATAGATTTAATATTCTGTTGGAAGCCACCCAGAGTGGCTGGGGAAACCCAGCCAGATGGGCGGGATATAAATAATAAATTATTATTATTATTATTATTTATTAAAATTGACAGATCTGTCCATCTTCAGGGTACAGGAGCACCCTTTCTCTCTCTTTCTTTCTGGCACCCCTTATCTCTCTCACCCAGTGCTTTTTTCTAAAAAAATGTTTAGGGTTACTTTCATTTTCCTACTCATATTGAAACAGGTACAGTGGTACCTCGGGTTACAAACGCTTCAGGTTACAGACTCCGCTAACCAAGAAGTAGTACCTCAGGTTAGGAACTTTGCTTCAGGAAGAAAACATAAATTGTGCGGCGGCGGCGGTGTGGCGGCAGATGGAGGCACCATTAGCTAAAGTGGTACCTCAGGTTAAGAACAGTTTCAGGTTAAGAACGGACCTCCGGAATGAATTAAGTTCTTAACCAGAGGTACCACTGTAAAGGTAAAGGTACCCCTGACCATTAGGTCCAGTCAACTTAGATTCACAAAATGTTTAGGGGTATGTGTATCCCTGCGTCCCCCCAGAAAGAAAGCACTGCTCTCCATGCTCTCTTTTCCCTCTCCAAACAGTGAGCTGCTCTTGGCAGGGGTCTGAACTGATAAATTGCCAAGGGCTTTTGAAATCAGACAAAAAGTCAAATACAGCACCAGGTACACAGTTTGTCCACCTCTGTTTCAGAGAGGCTAAATGTGGCTGCTGTTTTGTTTTTTAAAGGCAGTGGTACCTGCTTAAGTTTTCAGGATGGGGCAGATTAGACATCAAAATACACAAACAACAACAACAACAACAACAACAACAATTTATTATTTATTCCCCCCCCCCATCTGGCTGGGCTTTCCCAGCCACTCTGGGCGGCTTCCAAGAAAATATTAAAATACTGTAATACACCAAACATTAAAAGCCTCCCTAAACAGGGCTGTCTTCAGATGTCTTCTAAAAGTCTGGTAGTTGTTGTTCTCTTTGACATCTGGTGGGAGGGCGTTCCACAGGGAGGGCGCCACTACCGAGAAGGCCCTCTGCCTGGTTCCCTGTAACTCGGCTTCTCGCAGTGAGGAAACCACCAGAAGGCCCTCGGAGCTGGACCTCAGTGTCCGGGTAAAACGATGGGGGTGGAGATGCTCCTTCAGGTATACTGGACTGAGGCCGTTTAGGGCTTTAAACGCCAGCACCAACACTTTGAATTGTGCTCGGAAACGTACTGGGAGCCAATGTAGGTCTTTCAAGACCGGTGTTATATGGTCTCAGCGGCCGTTCCCAGTCACCAGTCTGACTGCCGTGTTCTGGATTAGTTGTAGTTTCCGGGTTGCCCCATGTAGAGTGTATTCAAAGGTTGCCCCATGTAGAGTGTATTGCAGTAGTCCAAGTGGGAGATAACCAGAGCATGCACCACTCTGGTGAGGCAGTCCGCAGGCAGATAGGGTCTCAGCCTGCGTACCAGATGGAGCTGGTAAACAGCTGCCCTGGACACGGATTTGACTTGTTTCTTCTTTCTTTTTCAGAATTCCTGAAGCTGCTGCCTGCAAGGACTGCATGATTTTTGCAAGCAGCTACCTTATCTCCCTGAAAGTGGAACCCCCGCCGACGTTGTCCCACAATTTGTCCGGTTCTCCTCTCATTACCATCCATTTGAGACACAAACTGGTAAGGAGTGATGAATCCTTTAACTTGCTTCTTTGCTATGATGTCTGTAACTCTGTATGACACGTTCCGTATCAAGCACAGCAGAATTTCGGGACTTGCGTAAACTATGCCAATGTGAGACATCTGTGTTTAACAGTTGTTGTTCCTCTATTAGTTATGTGTAGGGCTAAAATGTATGGCGGGTATTGAGTCCTGCTTGTTTTGTTGTTGTGTGAGACGCCACTCTGCCTCAAGCTCACTTTCAAAGTAATATGGCTCTTGAGATCTAGAAACTTGTATTTGTTAAAAAAGAATGATGACATTCTCTGAGTATGATATTTTGGATGATGCTTTCATGGAGTCACAAATTATACCCAGCCTTGACTACTATTTCATTTATTGAATTTATATCCTGTCCTTCCTTCTGAAGGAGCTCAGTGTCACACTATGGCAGACTGGAAATAGCATTGCCCTGTTGAGTTGGCTGGACATGGTTTTGGCTGTTTCTCTGTCGGTGACTGTTTACAGCTGATGGTTTAATGCTATGTGGTAGAGAAGGATGGTGAAAATGGAACATGGCCTCTTCAAGAGTGGCCCCTAGGTTGCAGAACAAATCATGGTATTTTCTGTTCCATCAGGTTTTTGGATTCTTCTGAGATCTGTTGTTCATCCTTGTCTCCTAGCTATGGGCATATTCTTTGCCATCTTTTTTTAGTTCCCTCCTTTGTATAATTGCTGTTGAACATTTTGCATTTTCTATTTTGTACTGTAAGCTGCCTTGAGGAGGAATTTGGGCTGAAATTCTGGCTCTTTCTCTCTGTGTTGTGCACCTTTAAGGCATATCTTATCCTTCCTTTTCTTAGTATTTTCTTTCCCTCTGCATCTAGGTCCCAAGCCTGCAGGCGTGGGCTGTGTTGTTCTTTTTTGTGTGTGTGCAGCATCTAGCTATTTTAGATGCTTTATAAAGAATTGTTATAGGAGTGGAGACATATATATATATATTCCTTTTTCATAACCTGCTGGAGGAAAATTCAATGGCTTGCATTCACACAAGGGCTTGCATCCACTCTCCTCCCCTTCTCCCACCCAAGAAGGAGGGAGATTAGAAGCTTCTGCTTCCCCTTGGTAGCAAACCATAGTTTACTTTTAGGCTCTGAGTGCAGCAAACCATGGTTTATTGAAATTAGAGCTGAGCCACACACTCCTACATTTTCCCATGCTGTTTGTAATCTGCACAACCAGTTTACCAGAGGCAAGAGAGGGATAAGCACATGTGCCATGTGTGCCAATGCCTCTTTCAAAGCCAGTGGTGAAGCTGCATGCTCTGGCACCAGGGGCAGAGAGCAGGCATGGGCGTGGCTGATGCGCATCTCGGGGGGCATGGCATGCTGCCCATGGGGGCGTGGGGTGTATCCTGGGGGTGTGGCATGTGCCCTGGGGGCATGGCACCCAGCGTGGTGGGAGGTGTGCGGCACATGTCCCAGGGGGCGGGCATGATGGGACCCCCATCCCCAATGGTGCCGGGGGTGGTATGCTCCCACCATCCCTGTTCCTTCGCCAGTGTTCAAAGCACCTTTGATTGCCACCCATCTCCAGCCTAAAGTTGCTTCCATGTGACCTGTTTATTAAGCAATCATCCTGACTGATCCGTGGGGAGCTTAGGTGAGGTTGCATCAAGCAATTGTTATCATGCACTTCCCAGTTCACCTCCCCTCATTTTCCTTCTTGCAAAATGTTCAAGGTGATTTTGGGCGGGGTGGGGCGGGAGCAGCTTTGTTGCGCAAGAATGCCAAAACAAACTGACTGCACAGCTTGAATTTGCTGGTATGAGATTGAATCTCATGCGAAAACAGTGACACTCTGGAAACACCTCTCATACGAAGCCCTGCAAAAGGATCCGAACCACTTTTATTTTTAAAACATTATCTGCACCGCTGGCGCTCTCTTTCTCTCTCTCAAGTGAGGAATTAGCTTGGTAGCCTCTGCGGGTTTTGTCCCTGGCACCGGAGGAGCTTTGCATATTATAGCCTTGATGCAAAGAAGTGGGAGGCAGGTCTGGGTGGAAATTGAGAGTTTGGTTTGGAAAGGGGCAGCCCATCAAACGTTCTGAGGGGGATCTGTGCATTTGGGGCCTGGCCCAGCCTGAGAGGCATGATTATAGGTGTCATTCCTCATTATCCCAACATCGAACTTGATCTTCAGTGCTCTGGGAACTGAAGAAACAATAACTCAGATGGATTGAAACCTCCGTCCTTTGCCTGACCCCATTTCTGCCTGCTTTAAGTATAGGTTATTTCTGCTGAAGTGGCTTTACAGGATCTTCCATTCTTTTTAGTTACACACAAGAGAGCCTGTTTTCAGAAGTGATGCTTAGAGGTTTGGGAAAGACCCCTCACTGAAACACTGGGAATCTGCTACCAGGGCTTATCCAGTGCTTCCATCCTCCTTAAAAACATGTTTAGGGGTACTCTCACTTTGAGTAAAAGAAATTCACTATTTTATAGTTCAAATCTGGAAAAATAAATACGGTAAATGGACAAAAGGTACAAAGACTCACAAAATGTTTAGGGATATGCTTCCCCCCAGGAAAAAAAGTGCTGGGCCTATCCTTTTTCCTTTTGCCCTGTGCTTTTTAGCCTTTAAAGCTCTGTGTTCAAGCACTTGTTTTTTTTTGTCCCAGAGCCCTCTCTGCTCTTTAACGCTGAATCACAACTAACAGAAATGTGGGTCTTCCTCAGATGCTTATTGCTCCGATTCAGCTTTAAAGAGCAGGTTTTCACGGGGAAAGCTCCAGAGGGAAGGGGGGGGGAGAGTGTTTGGACACTGAGCTTTAAAGTGCAGATTGTGTTTAGAAAGTGAAGGGGAAAGGTAAGTTTGGATAAGCCCTCAGTCACTACAGACCATTTAAGAAATATTCTGGAATGAAACGACGGCAGGGAACAGAATCTTGCAAAGGCACAGTGGCCAACTTTGTCTTTGAGAGGATACTTTAAATTTTGTTAGTGTCTTTTATTTGTTTGTTTCTGTCCTAGCCCTCATTGCTGGGCAAAGAACTCAAACTCCCAGTGCCGTTTCTGCAAAAAGCTTTTAATGTGCAAATCAGATTGGTACACAGGCTGTTGGGAATTCCATTCCACCCTTTGCTGCAGACATGGGATTCTTACATGTCACATGTCTGTTTACATTCCAGCACAGATTGCTGGTGTGAGCAGAACTTCCGCTCTGTATTGCTTTTGTTTTCACTCTCTCTCCGAGAAGATGGCAAGGAGAGATGCCATGTTTTCTTTGTCCTGATTTATGTATAATAAATGCGTAGCTTAGTATTGTATCTACAGCCTCAAGCCTCTTCTGTTGCACAGTTTACACTGCTGAGTAATGTGTGCTCAAGCCTGCAAGCTTGAGTCACTGATGAACGTCGGAGCAGAGGTGGATGGATCTCCGCAGTGGCAAGGCTGAGGGGAGACGCTCCAGCTGGGGCTTTTCGACCCCCGATTCCGACACAGGCAAGGCAGAGCTTACAAGATGCAGCAGGTACATAAGAGGCATAGATACAGTGGCGCCCCGCAAGACGAATGCCTCGCAAGACGGAAAACCCGCTAGACGAAAGGGTTTTCCGTTTTGGAGGTGCTTCGCAAAACGAATTTCCTATGGGCTTGCTTCGCAAGACGAAAATGTCTTGCGAGTTCCTGCAGGTTTCCCCCCCCCTTTTTCCCAAGCCGCTAAGCCGCTTATCAGCTGATCCGCTAAGCCGCTTAACAGCTGATCCGCTAAGCTGCTAAGCCGCTTATCAGCTGATCCGCTAAGCCGCTTATCAGCTGATCCGCTAAGCCGCTTAACAGCTGATCCGCTAAGCCGCTTATCAGCTGATCTGCTAAGCCCGCTAAGCCGCTAATAGCGCTAATCCGCTAAGCCGCTAATGGGCTTGCTTCGCAAGACGAAAAAACCGCAAGACGAAGAGACTCGCGGAACGGATTCTTTTCGTCTTGCGAGGCACCACTGTACATGGCTAAGTGCAAATATGTTGATCCAACAAGTGACATGCATCCTACACCTTCCTTTTGAAGAATGGAGCGGGCTTAGCTCTTAGAATGGCAAGGGGTCAGAGTCCTGGGACTGGGCAAGCAACCAAGCCGTCCTTTGAGTGGGTTGGGTCTGCGAGGTTCGTTCGTGCTGGTCCATAGAGATGGAAGCAGTGTGGGCACCAGCTGATTTACTCTGTCGCTTCCCCATAAAGAGGAGGCTTCTCACAGACAGGACGTACAGAACGACTCCACAGCATGAGGTGTATGACTAGGAGTGTCCAATGTCACTCCTCTGCTAAACCACTTGGTCCCTCCTTGGGGTCCAGCTCCCCATTCTCCAGAGCAGTGTTTCCCAACCTTCAGTCTCTGTAGCTGTTTTCGGACTACAATTCCCATCATCCTTGACCACTGGTCTTGCTAGCTAGAGATGATGGGACACCTGTCCCCATGCCTGGGCTCAGATGCTTCTTGGACAAACTCCAGTGACACAGCCCGTCCCTCTGGCCACCACAGCCACTATGCCTTGCTTTGAAGAACCCTTCCTCAAAGGCTAGAAGAGCAAGACAGGGAGTTGGGTGGCCAGTGGTGGCAGCCACAGTAGTGAGAGACAGACAATAGCAAAGCAAACGAGGGGAGGGTCCAGGAAGCACCAGGTCTTCCCTCCTTTGTGCCTGCCACCTGGTAGAACACGTGATTTGCACGTATAAGATCCCCAAGTCAATCCTTGGCATCTCCAGTTAAAAGGATCTCATGTAGCAGTTGATGGGAAAGTCCCCTTGCCTTTGGAGTATCACTAAAAGTCTGAATGGATAATACTTGGCCAGATGGAACTCCCTGCCTATTGACAAGAGTCCTTTGCTGTACTCTTTTTGGATTTGTTTTCTTTTCTTTAGGCAAGCCTACCCAGACATGTAGGGATGCAGGTGGCACTGTGGTCTAAACCACAGAGCCTAGGGCTTGCTGATCAGAAGGTCGGCGGTTCAAATCCCCGTGACAGGG